AACAGACAGACAGATTTGATAGATCAGCGGTATCGGTTCGACTGACGGTTCAATAGAACAGGGGTATCTGTTTGATAGAACAGGGGTATCGGTTCGATTGGTTGTATGATTGATGGTTTCATTTACGCGTCTTCGTGACTTTGCCATGACATTGAGATGCGGTGAATGCTGACACGTTCATTTTTTATCTCGACCCATATAATATATCTAACTAATAAAGGTCGCGAAAGAATATGATTTTCTTTGTAGTTAAACTAATAGCTGTTTGATAGAACAGACAGGTAATTTGACAGGCAGTTCGACCGGCAGTTCAACAGATCAGGGGTATTGGTTTGACAGGCGATTCGACAGACGGTTCGACAGATCAGCGGTATCGGTTGAACAGATCAGCTGTATCGGTTCGCCAGATCAGCTGTATCGGATCGATTGGCGGTTCCGTAAAAGCGTTTTTATAGTTACGAGTGTTTCAATTTCATTTATATTCTTTATAGCCGCTATCATTTTGGAGGAGCGTGTGAGTGATATAATGTATCAATATCATCCTTGCAGCATTATCAGGTAGGAGAGATAATTAATTCTATGGCTTGCATTTTTACTCGCGGGTTCTCGTGGAGCCTTTGAGTCAGTCGCCATTAAGCTGTTGTGACTGTCGAGTGAATCTCCGTAAAATAAACGTAATGTTGTGCCAGTGCATTAGTTGCGAGAAAACATTCGCACCCAGTACCTGCGATGTATGTTCGCGCAGGTACTGGCTGCGCGCGGGGCGACAGCTTGCTGCCTCCGAGCATGACGACCAATTTTTGTGGGCCCTCGCAAGGGCTAGAACGCCTCCGAGAGAGGAGGAGGGCCCGCAGCACGAGGAGGCGCCGCGGAGCCCACAGATGGAGGGTCCGCGCGAGGATGCGAGCTCGCAGGACAGCCCGCAGGCACCGGCGAGCCCGTGCGAGGAGGCACCGCTGCGCATCATCCTCGACGTAGCAACCGGAAATAGAACGGTTGCGTATTACAACTAGGGTAAGTATTTTTTTACTAGTTATCCTTCTTTCTTTCTTCTTTTTACACTTTTTATAAATTGCTTCCCTTTTTGTCTGTTGCAGATAGCAACGGGCAGGCGGATTTGCGCCGATTAGATTATATATCATATAACATTAATTTTAAAATAAACATTTTATATTATTTTAATTATAATATCTATTTTCTTCTCCTCCTCTTCCTCTTCGCAAACGTGCAGGTGGGACCGCGAGCGATAACGGGTGGGATGGGGCCCGTGCGCAACGGCGGCGTACGCGGCGGCGGCGGCGGAGGCGGCGGCGGCGAACGCGAGCGCGGTTCCTCTTTCCCCGCGATACCCGCATCTCCAACGCGGTATCCCTCTTCCCCGCGGACCCTCGACGCGGTTTCCCCGTCCCCGCGGATCCCGGACCCACGACGCGGTTCCCCCGTCCCCGCGCATCCCGGACCCACGACGCGGTTCCCCCGTCCCCGCGCATCCCGCACCCACGTCTCCGCGGTCAGGCCAGCTGAGCGAGTGGCTTTCCGCGGCT